GGGTTCGTGAAAAAGGAAAATTTTTTTCTCGCTACTTCTCTTGAACGAGTAATTTACCCTAAATTGCTTCAGAGAAATGGATAGCAGGTCGATACTTGTGAACGACAGAGACAGCACAGTGTTCTGATGTGGTCACACCAGAATGATGGGGGGGGGGCGAGTGAGCCGTGCGTACTGCTTAATATGTGAAGCCTTAGGTTGTAGTTTGCTGTCACTCACATGATAGCTGATTATATGGTGAAATAATTGGCACAGAGTGTAACCCAATTTTTAAAATAGTTTATTAAACTCTGTGCATGAAGTCAGAAAGCCGTTGTTCAAATGCCGGAAATGTGACAGCGTTGTTGGACCATTGCCAAAGCCGCACCTTCACAACATGATTGTGGCTTAATGCATCGGTCGCGTTAAATGTCATTCTACCACTTCATACGTATGCATCATGAGTGATGTTTGCAGGCCAATCGACATGCAACTTAACGGTGTTAGGGCGATCCTGCACAGGTATCTAGGTATTTAGATTACGTGGCCTGTTGCACAATGACCTACTGAGGCATGTTTTATCTAGCGGCTTCTCTTGTGGTTGTTTATGTTCGTTGAGATCATCACCTTGAGCCTTGTGCATGAACAAAATGTATTCGATTTGTGGTGTCCGTTGTACCCGCGGCTTTTGCTAAATGACACCGGTTACTGCATCCTAGATGGAAACGTTCTTCTCAGAAATAAAGCAGATTTGTCTCCAGTTTATTCTTCGGTATTGCATGCTGACCGCTGACCTGCTGGTCGACGTATGTTGTGTTTCGACTCTCAGACGAGAAGCTAATGGTCTGGAGTAAATGGTTTATGATGAACCAGTTTATCTAAGAGGGCAACCTCCTTTTGTTACTCACAACATTCACTCAGGTTACGTGTACCCGGAAGAAAATAGATTCTTTCCTTACGCAGTCTTGCAATTTTACCCTCATTATGCGTCAAAGCACATGTTGTGTTATGCAGTTCAACCGTCGTTCTAGCTCATTCGTTAGAATAACTGTCTCCAGGCCGTACAACAGCACTAACCTGATAGAGCGTGATACAGGCTGATGTCTGTAAAAGGGCTTGCTCCTTTCTCAGCCGAAATATTAAACAGGTTTTCTGAAGCACTCCAGACTACGGCGATTCTGTTATTTGACTCTGGCTGAATGGTGCCGTTGATAGAGTTGATGGAACCGATGTGCTTAAGCTCATCGACATCCTGAAATGCTCTTTCTCCCTGTTCTACTTTTAAATCAGCTGCATCGAAGGAGTTCCTCATAACCTTTGACTTCCTGGCGTTGCTGTGTGGCATACAGAGACCGTCAGGTGATAACCCACTTCTCGTACTACTTATCAGGACAATGTCATTTGCGTGCTCTTGATCAGCAAGACATCTAGCCGGATATCCTGAACTGCGCCTTCCATCTGGAATGAGGCCTTCGTCTTTGCCTTAGGTCAGTACTGATTCAGAGACGAAAGGCTAATAGAAAGGACTACAGCACTTCTTCTGACGAAATCCGTGGTTTCATAGTGAAGACATAGTTCCTGCTTACATCTCTTCTCAAGCACAAACGATGTACTCAAATATCTTATAGCCTTTCAAAATTTTCTACGTCGTCCGACGATGTAGTGAGTCAAATAGAGAGTAAATCTCTACGAATCTGGCAAGCCAAGCTACTTTAATGGTTGGCATTGCTCAGCTATCCAACCAGTGAAACATGGCCGAGATCAGAAATCCGTCTGGAAGCCTACTTGATTTGGGCGAAATCTCTCATCATCTGCCTGCCTCAACCCTTCCAGGATAGCCCAGAAGAAAAGTTGCCCAGGAATTGACAGTACTCTGATACCACGACAGTTATATGGTTACACTGTCAGCCACCCGCTCCCTTTAAATATTACTGTACACTTCCATTCTCCTGGGAAATGCTTTTAGGTTCACATTTGATAAACAAGCCATGCAGCTTTTCTACCTCCATGCTTGATTAACTCTGGAACCATTCGACCCATACGCAGGCCTTGTTCACCATGAGATATGAAGCGACCTTTTAGATTTGTAGTAGTTTTATGGGTAGATATTTACTAATTACATGGCTCTGTTGTTACTCGCATGGGTTAGAGCATCCTGTATGATGACATGAATTCACTGCATGAAAGACAATGTCTGTCGTAAATCTAATCAACTAGATCTAGGGATGTCAGTGTTTTTGCCAAAATGGAAATGGCTCCAGGATCTCTGATCCTAGCCTTAACGAGCGTTCCACAAATCCCAATTGACCTTAGAAGACAGTAGACGAATTGCTTAAGGTAACATGGTCTTTTTTCTAGTTTGTCCCCAGTACCTTTATTTCGTAGTTTTCTACTGGCTTCCCCTGCGGGGTTTGATCACTGATTCCTTTTGTTAGCAGTATGTTGATGTGTTCATCTTCATCTTCTTCATCTTCATCTTCCATCGCCGCTTCTCCTTTCGGGTCGCGGAGGCAGACGCGTC